CTTTAAGGAATAATTTTAATAATGTGATTGTTGGTAATCAACATAAGTGCTAGATTTTTTGTTCATCCTCTTGGGTGGTTATAGCAGTATGTGTGGTGTTTGTATGTATTTTGCCTAATTATGATATTTTTTGTCAAAGATCATTCCATTTGGTGGGATTGGGCTACAAGAATTTACCGTGAACTTTTAGAGAAGAAATGGAAATATAATATCAGTTTTCCCAACTTTGCTTGGTAAATGCAGATTTCAATAAAAAGTGAATGCCTCAGGCAAATAGAAACAAAATCCATATTTGGCTTAAAAGCAATGACGATGCATTTTTGTCAGCATCATATTTAACGTTGTTATTTTTGCTGAACAGATTTTCAAATGATTTTCGCTATTCCTCCCAAAATCAAGTCAACTTGACGAATCTGCAAATGAATATAGGTTACCACATAATACACATAATATATATATATANCTCTCTCTCTCTCCCTCCCCTCCCTCTCTCTCACCCTCTCTCTCTCTCTCTCCCTTTCTCTCTCTCTTTCCTATGTCTGGCTCATACACTACAAGTGGCTTGGCTAAACTTCTATTTAATTGTTTTTTCCAATGAAGCTTCGAAAAATGCACTACCTGTAGAACTTTTAAAGTCCCCACCCCTGGGATTTTTTCAAAAACAACTCTACCTAAAAAAAAATTAAACAGTATTATCATTAATTAATTATTGTCATTATGAGCTCTAATTTTAAACATTGCAGTAATTACAATTTTTCTTTCAATTTCAGAAAAAATGCTTGAAGTCATAATTTTTAAAATGGTAAGTAGAGTTTTATTTTTGTTAAGCATGGTAAACCATTAAAAATAGTTTACAAGTCTTGAAGAAGTGGATCTATTTTTCAAAAGCTTGACATTTACAATTAAGCATTTTTCGTTGTTCCATATTGGCCTTATACCAGGTTTTTGTAAATAAATTTTTTATGCACACAAACTATTTGTTATTAAGTTCAATTAAATCATATTTACAGTTAATTTTACGTAATAATTTAAAAATTAACTGTGCATTGAGGAAACGCTATTTCTTGAATCGATTTACTCGTTTTCCTCAATCTTCTAATTGTCCTGGAGAATAAGACTGTAGTTATATAAAGGAAAATTGAGAGTTATTATGTTTCTCCTTTTTGTTATAAATTTGATAATTTATAAAATTGATTAAAAAAAAGGCTCTGTGTATTTTGCGAAATAAGTCTTCTTGGGGTATTTTTAATAGCGGGGTCGCGGCTCATGATTAAGAATGCTAATCCTGAAATACGGGATGAAGTGTCATTAATAATTTGCTCCAATCGGTTTAAGGTTTCCTATAATTATAAGTTAGCCCGTGTGTGTGGGTACGTAAAGGGATATTGGGGATTAAGTAAAGAGAATAAAGGATGGTATAGAACGGGGGGGTCGCCCTTATAAAGAGGCACGTTTAATTGGTATTTATTAAACTCTGTGCCTTCAACTTTTACAGAACTCGAACTTTAATAACCTGGCATTATTTAGAAATTCCAGACTGCGGAACACGCACGTTTCTCCGTCGATACGAAACGCCCGACAACTTTTACATAATATCTCCCCGCTGCAAGTTTAGGGAGGATCTTTCATTTTGAATTTATTAAAAACTTGAACAAAACCCGGCTTATCGAGCTGAATGACTATTACTCAATATGATACGATATTGTTCGAGCCCTGAGTTTTGGCGGGATTCTGGATGGAAATACCTTTTACTTGCATCGCTCAGTCGAGGATAAATTAGTCTCTCGACCGGTAATTTCGACAAATGAGGAAACACTTACTTCGTCCTTGTTGAGAAAAATCGTTCTCCCTTTTAATAGGAGACAACATGGCGCAAAAGATGCCTAACGGCTCGGATAAATTTAACAAAACGATTATTCACCGCCTCAGTTTAAACTGTTTGATGGACCCGCAATAAACTTCCACGAACAGCTCATAATCTTTCCCTATTTAATTTCTACACATATGGTGTGCATTTATTAATTGCAACTACTCAATAATCCACCATTTTAACAACGATTCTTATAATGTATTGAATTAACTAATAATTTTGCTTAACTATTACTTTTATTAATTAAAATTCTTTATCTGTAACAGAAAATATCCTACTCATATCTAATGACCCTTTTGGCGTTTTCTACTGCATTAATCAAAACTGCGTAGTTTTTAACATGGTAAAAAACTAAATAAATTATCTGATGTTTTCATAGATCCTAAGGCACGTCTCTTTTGATGAATCATTTATTTTGACTCTATAAAAAAATCGTTTCAAGGATTAATCATGTTAATTATATCCATCCTAGTAGAACACACCATATACAGATAGGTTGTTACAGGTTCTATTTCGTTCTTTTTCAATTCGAATTAGTACACATTTGAATTGGTTAGATGGTTAAATCAGTCAAATAGGAATCGAGGAAAAATATGATCTTTGAACCTTGTCATGGGTTAGATCTATATTATACATTTTTTCATCATTTATTCTATCCACTGTATTCGAAGCTAAATGATTGTCAGTAATAAAGCCCAGGGATTTCAAACTGATAGAGCAAAGACCAAGGCGAATTTAAAGTCACGCCTATTTTCACCGTTATATTACCGGAATATGGTCATTTTTTCCTCATTGGAGATCAAGTCTCTATGTTCACTAGCAAAACCAGTAAACTTTCAAATCTAGGTATTACAAGTTTAAAAAAAAGATTTTTTCACCCTAATACTTTTAACGGCATTTCAGAACTACTCAACATAGTACTGCTTGATTATGTATTGCTGATCAACTCATACGTTAATGAACACAGTGCCAGGGGGGCCAAATGGATTGGTATCAAATTAAACGAAGAGCTTTATTTAAAGGCAAAGAAACATTTCACATACATTTTGCATAAAAGTGTATTATAGTTTTATAGTCTATATANATATATATATATAGACCCCCCCCCAAAAAAAAAAAATCAGCTTTTTAATCACATACCTGCACTTGGTCTCATTTTTTAGACAATTTTACGCTGAACAACATGGCTTTATTACATGTTTTCCTAGCTTCAGATATTCATCAGAAATTCGGGAAGATGTTAATTTTTGAACTTTTTACGAAAAATTCAAATTGAGCTATGGAGCCAGGAAATCGCCCTGGAGCAGCGCCCTTTAGCAATGGATAAGAATTTTTTTTTTCAAAAAACGTATTTGGCTCATGGAAAAATCGACCACTCTCTCTCTCTCTCTCTCTCTCTCTCTCTCTCTCTTTCTCCCGATATATATTGATGAACAAATTGAACGCACCATCCTTAAATTTTAATGTATTTAGTTTTATTCATAAGTTTGGTTGTAAAAATTATTACCTAATTACAAAAAATCAATTAACTATTGAGTAAAGAAGGAAAAAACCCAGAAATTTCAAAAACAAATAAAAATGTAAAAAAGTTTACTCTTTGATACCGAGCATTTTCATATCTGGCACGTACACGTCCTTTGCTTTTGTATTCTTTGGGAAAGGTTTCCGATAAAATCCTTAGGAATTCTTTCCCATTCATCAAGAACAGCCGTTTCCACTTCTTTTCGAGTGTCAGCTCGGTTTCGCCGTCGTACTCGTTGCTTAAGTTGGTACAAAATGTGTTGGAATGGGTTCAAACCTGGACTTCAAACTGGCCACATCAAGCACTCAATTCCAACCTCATTCAGGTAAGTCATCCACAATGCTCTATGGGGCCATAAAGCAAGTGGCGTACCTCTCTCTTCTTACAGTTCTGGAGGAAATGGAAAATGTCGGACTTGTTTTGTCAGATTTCTTATCTCATTTCCCGGACGCTGCGGTTTTGTAGAACTTGATGACGGAGGAATCAATCATCTCTCTCGTCTGTAGACCTGTTGTGACCAGATGTTCTGACTCTTATACTGCCAAGCTTACTGAAATGCCTGACTGGAGCCATTGAAAATAGGTTTAAGAATAAGAATAATATCAAACGAAAGCAGCGAAGGAAAAAAAATAACTGAAAGTGATCTTCCGGCGTAGTAGAATGAAAGGACATAGTACCACTTTTCGTGGAAATGGGATTGATCAGTACAAAAGTAAACAACGAAGTAAAGAAACCATTATTTACTGTTTATTTTGACCACGATAGTTCCTAATTACCTGTATCGAATGTAGAAAGGTAATAAAGTGATAAATACGAGTCGGATCCCCTAACCAATATGCCTTCGTTGTTCCTTCGATTTTAACTTTATGTATAATTGTATTAACCAAAAGAAATATAATATGATGAAATGAACCTAGCTTAATGAACCACTCGGCAAACTATAGATCCACGAAAGTTGACGATTGGTCAAGCGAATCTTACTAAAGCTACACAGGATATTAGCAGGTCATGATGGTCAGGGCAAACCATTGAGTAATGTTTATTAATAAATAAATCGACTAATAAAAATCATAATTCATTAGAAAGCAAGTGAGAAAAAAAATCAAGTTAAAACTGTCGAGGTCTTAAAATACAGTCCTACGATTTTTTGTTTTATTTTCTTAATATCTTGCCATAGTACAAGAAGTAGCGTACCTCCGAAGGACGAGCTGTCGTCCCCCGAAAGTACCAGGCGAACACCAGACGAAACGGGCGCGCAGCAAATACTTTCTCTGAGGGAGGAGGGTAATACATTAGTTACTGGTGAACCAACGCTATTCAACAAAACAAAAATTGTTTCGATATTTTTGTTGTTTAATAATAGGTTTTGCAAAAATTTAATTGAAAAGGCCGGGCCTTTAACACTGAGTGATCCGTCAACATCTCTCTGTCCGCCTATTCCCACTGTTTCTTCTTAGCTAAGCGCGATACGCGTCATCAGTGAATGCTTTTCGGAGATACGGAGCAAACGATAACGCGAGTTATTTCTCATCTCTGTCATTAGCAGCGAAAATGGGCGGACAGAGAGACGATTACTTCCAGACCACTAAGCCAAACCTCACTATTTACCTGAACGATGTCTATCACAGAGATGATCACAGAGAAACAGCCATTTAGATTCAGTAGAAAACGACACGTATCACACCTCGCCCTATTCCTCTCTCAGTTCATTTCAAAAGGGGCTGATAGCAAAAAAATCTGTCAACAAAAATTTTACAAATATGAATTAATGCAATATTATGATTATCACTGATTTATTTTATTTTGCCTTGGTAGGGGAGAAATTATAACTTTTGAATGAAGTAGTGGAAGGATGTTTGGAAATATAATAGATATGTAAAATGTATTCATTATCTTTACAGTCGACTTGAGCTTTCTTCTTATCTCTTATAGAAGAACTATACTAAAACATCCTTTCACTACGATAAACTTTTGTCAATAATAAACAACATACCAAAGGCAACACAAAAATTACTTTTCGGCTTTGAAACTAAGCCCAAGTTTTTGAAATGCAATATCGAACGTTTTTATAAAACCATTTCCAATCATTTCCTTCATTTTTTATGAAGTCAAATGAATTTGATGAATCTGCAAATAAACGTTTAGGCATTGAAAAAAGTGTATGCACCAATATCGTTTCCTCAACAACATATAAGTGAACTTCGAAATATGAATCACAAACTTTTTATTTCTAAATTTTTATTACTTTATTTGTATTGTCGGGCCCCGATTCGGTAAAATCTTCTTGGCTACTTCTGATATTTTCTTTATCCTATAATGGCTCTTTGTGCCTTGGAGCCTCGTTAATTGTTAATAAAATAACATAAATACACATAAAAATAGAAACAAGAAGCGGGGAACACACCCGATGCTACCCGACGCCTTGTCTCGTTTTGGTCAATCGCACGCCACGTACAGTCACACAGCGTGAATCACAAATCAGTATCACAATCGGAACGCCTCTTAATGCATTATTTTGAGCAAAACCATGTTATAAATTGTTATTTAAATTTTATGAGCACAACCATGTGATAAATTGTATGTTAAATTTAATTATTTTAAATAAAGTTATTCAAGTGTTTTGATAAATCTTCTGCCTAACCATCATAATTAAATAATTTTTTGTAAAAACTCATGAATTTTTGATCCCGTTTAATTTGGTTTACATTTAAATAAGAAAGTTTTAATTGATATAACGACAAAATTACATATACATAGTTTGAAATAAACCATAAAAAATATGAGTGTCCGGTTCTGACGCTACTCGACAAAAATTTTATGGGCAAAACCGTGTAGTAAATTATTAGTTAAATTTTATGAACAAAACTATAATAAATTGTTAGTTAAATTTTATCAGCAAAACTATGAAATAAATTGTTTGTTAAATTTATTCTATGAATGAATGGTATTCCCGTGTTTTGATAAATTTTCTGCCAAACCATTAAAATTTTTTTTTTTTCAAATAAAAACTCATTAATTTATGTTGTAATTAATATAACGACAATAATACATATAGTTTGAAATAAAAATATGAGTGTACGGTTCTTTGACTTTACTCGACGCTACTCGACGAACATCTGGACAGTGGGGATCTTGGTTGGATCGCGTAGCATAGAGTAGGGTAGCGTTGCGTGGCTTCGGAGAGATGTGCACGGGAGTAATACAATGTTATGGAAAATTGGATGTTGGATTTGAGGGTCCTTCGGGTCACGTCGAGTAGCGCTGCGTCAGGTAAATGTGTTCCCCGGTTAATAGTCTTAGCATTCACATTCCCCCAGAATATTCTGTATTCCAAGAGGTAATTGGGGTAAACCCCCTCCATTCCCCCTAATAAATCATATTTACACACCAGTTCACATTGCTCGTGAGTGCTCGATACTCGTCGGGGTTATGGGGGATGAGCCCCTCCATTCACGCTAATAAATTACATTAACACACCAGACTTCGTTCACACTAGCTCAGAGTACTCGATATTCTTAGGGGTCATTGGGATAAGCTTTTCTTTCATATTACCCGAGAGCAATCGACATTCGTAGGGGTAATTGGGGATCAGTTCCTCCATTCGCGCTAATATATACATTCATACACGAGACTGCATTTACACTACTATACAGTACTCGATATTTCTCGGGGTAATGTGGATAAACTCCTCCATTCGCGCTAATAAATTATATTAATACATCAAACTTCCTTAACGGTACCCGAGAGTAATCGATATTCCTATGGGTAATAGGAGATAAGCCCATCGATTAACCCATAACTTAAATTAACACACCAGATTTAGTTCACTGTACCCGATCGTAGTCGATATTCCTAGGAGTAATTAGGGATAAGCCCACCATTTACAAATAAATATATTAATGTAATTAAATACGTATTTCATACTGTGTTTAACTTATGTTGCCCCCTCTCCCTGTTAGTGTTTTATTTGTGCATTTCTGAGAAAGATTTCGAGAATTTCTCATAAGGAAAACCAGACAAAAAAAATATACGTGTTTCTTGGTCTTCACAAAAACACCCCAATAAAAGCATTATACGTACAGTTTTTTACATTTTTACCTAAATTTTTGTTGTTCATATTATAATTTTTTTGCATTATAACAAGCAGTGCTGCAATATATATTATATATTATAAATCATTATGTACAATAGAAGGACTTGTTGCTCGTGAAACAAATAATTATATAAACATAGCCTATTTGCAATTAAAGCACGTTTCGAGTGTCCTAGCGTTCTACAAGCTTATGTAAATAATTTGTAGTTGAATTTTACACCAAGATCTAGGTTACACTGATGAATTGACACCATTTGTACAACCACTCTTTTGTCTTACAAGGAGACGACCATGTTCATGGGTCACGGATTTGAGCCAAACCTTTTTTCCTGATTCTACACCTCAAAATATCGGACACTTATCTGCCACTTCTTGTGAATAAACCCTGATTTTGCAAAAAAAAAATCCGGTTTTGAATTTTATTTCGCCATTCTACTTGCTTAAATCAACCATGTGAATATATCATTTTACAGCATTTTTACGTAAATTGCAATAAAATATAGTAAACACTATCACAGTTTTCAGTAACCCAACAATTTTAAAAAACCAAATATTTTTCAATTAAACTAGGTCGAAAAGTTTAGAATGTCTAGAGGCCCCTAAATATAAATTATTGTTTGAATTTAAATTTATCGTTTTTTAGACTCCCAAAATTTTTCCGATTGTTAAGAAGTCGTTATCGGAATATCTGATTGAAACAGCTATAATTCAACAACGTATGTATCATTCAAATATATAAAATATTACTATAAGAAAATATAGAAAATAACAAAACTATATGTCTGAAATTAATCTCGTTTATTAGTTTGAATTAAATATCTGATGTTAATGTTTGATACAGTTATAAAATGAACTTTACGATTTCTTTAAAACGAATTATCAACTATGAAAATCGGTCCAGTAGCCAATTGAGAAAAATGATTTAGAGCTTGCACTAGTAATGTCTGTCCGGCAGAAAGGTCGTCGAAATTATCAGCCAAAAAATTAATTTACTCCGATTTCATCAAGAGACGGTCCCATTAATTTTAAAAAAGAGATAACGAGAGGAGGACCTCCGGGATTAGATTGCAATACTGTTACAGTCCTTGGCAATGTTAAGACGGTCAGTATTCAAAGAAATTTGATATCGGCTGTAAAAAACTTAAATATGTCAAACTGTAGACATATTTAAGATAGTTTTTAAATTCTATATAGTTATATTCGTTGTTAAATCAATTGTACTAATATGTTTTTCATAATATAAAATTAATATAGGCCCTGATGTTGATCTTAAAATAGGTCGAAAGCTTGGCAGTAATAACTGAATTTTCTTTTTTCTTCAAAGCCATACCTCGATCCAGGGTGATCAAAGTGTGATCCACTCGCTTCTACATGTACTTGAGTCTAGTGTTAACAGAAGGAAAAACTGCACTCGATAGGAAGTTTGAATTTTTTTAGTAGACTACGACGTTTTGAATATGATTCGAAACCGTAGCCCACACTTTCCTCTGTATCAATTGTCTACGGAGGAAGTCATTAAAAATGGCGCTTTTCATTGACGACGATTCTATTATCTCTCACAAGCAAACGGCGGGTCTCGTAAACTTCTCGTTAACGGCGGACGATGAGGAATCATTTTTTAATAAGGCGAGGATGCAAATTCGACGGGTGTCAAAGCGTGAAATTTGCAGAGTCTAAGGCGTATAGGATGGAAGAGACCTGTTTGTTGATAGTCAGAAGCGGGTTTAACTCCGCAGCGCTCAGTTCAATTTGTTACGCCACTTAGTGGGTCCTGATCAGGCGATTCTCTCGTAATTTCTATTGTTAGAACAAAACTGACAAATCATCCGACCGTCTTTATGGTCTTATTCGGAACTCGTTGAATGGTCATCGAAATAGAGACAAAGCGATTCTCGGATATGGCTGAACGTAATAACAAGGCGAGGGTGATAGTAAAAATAATGCCAAATGCCAAAATTTTTGTATGTCTCCAATTTACCAAAAATGTAAAATCACTGGGTACTCTTGGATTGGCCTAATCGACCTCACATGTTTGCTTCCTAGTTTGACATTCAGGGGAATCATTAGTCAATATTTCAACCCTATAGAAAATAATTAGAAACAATAAATACAAATCATAAACCTCTTGTTTCTTTAATGCAATAAACAGAAAAACAAAAACAGAAAATATCTCCATTAGTTGAAAAATTAAGCCTGTCAATTCAACACTACCTAATTAGTATGAATGATAAGTCCTAATTCAGAAAGACGAAATAAATATAAATCTTTTCGAAATATAAAATGTTAACAATTTTATCGCCAGAACTAACTCCCGAAAAATTTGTGTCTCCTAGGATGTGATTTATTAAATTCGACCAACGCGAAGATAAGGGCTAAGCCGGGGACTTTACCGGATGTTCCGTTCCTTGGAAGCGGCATATCCGCTTACCTTGTTTAATACTTTTTATTTCCGTGATTCTAAACAATTTATTGTAATTTACAATTTACACTATTTTAATAACAGTGTAATATTCTTGTTTAATTATATGGTGGTGGATTGAACCGCTTGACGCTGGTTTCATTAGCTCCTTATTAGTGCGTTTATATTCCGAAATAGCTTCTTCACACACGCAAAGGGAGGATCCCAGATTAACACGATTATGTC